AAATAAACTGCACCACCTCGCACAAGCTAGGAATCTGTCGAGGCGCTCTCTAATAAGTGTTGACTACGAAAGCCCTCTTTGCCGGGTGTATATATTCCCTTTATAGCCCAGGTCACACACACCCATACTATCCAGACATTCTCTGAAATTGTCCATACACCTATCCCTGCGACTACCACCCCCACATTTCTCACCTGCAGATAGAATCTCACTAAAATCACCGAAGAAAATAGTCGGATGCGGAGATTGTTGACGAAGATTTTTCATAAGGAGCCATGTCTGATGCTTGTTTTCATTTTCAGGCCAGCCATATACACCAATAGCCCTCCAAACATTATTGTTGCCATTGTTAGAAACATCAACTGCAATATGATTATTTGAGTAAGAGACAACGTTCACATTGTTGTCGTTCCACCATAGGCCAATACCACCGGACAAGCCAACACTACTCAAACACAACCCATTAGAAAAACCACATTTATTTCTTATGCCTTCTAATCTGACAGAATCGATTTTTGTCTCCATTAAAAAGACAAAATTTAGCCGTTCCCTCCAACAATGATCCCGGAGGGAACTAACTGTCCGAGGGTTGCCAATCCCTCGACAGTTCCAGCTAAGAATTTTCATTGTTGTTCACGGGGTGGTCCACAAGCCACCTCCGCTACTTGAAATCGTGAAGTGTCCGATTCCTCCTGAGAGCCAAATCTACCCCGTTTAACCGAAACACTGCCAATATCATCTCCCCCAATGTCAACCTCCATAGCATCAGGGAATTTTCTTTTTTCATTTTTCAGGTCACATGAAATAATACTAGTAGTGGGTTTACTTGGTTCTTTATAGCTTCCCCTACTATTCCTTTTACCATGCCCAGTAAACTTACGCCCTTTACTTGATGATATACTACCCATGGCAAAGGTAGGTAAGTGTTTAATAGAAGCCTCCCTACCTTCATTATCCCCACCATTGTTTCCTCCTACTGTAGACGTAGGATTTTCTTCAAGTGCATGCTGCGGGTGTGTGAACCACTGCCCACCCTCAGAATCAGAAACCTCCTCTTCTTTGTCCGCCTCTGACCGTCCACTAATACTACCTCCCTCCTTAACACCCCGCCTGCCCACAGTCCCAACATTCACCAGCTGTCCCCCCTCAAGCAAGTCCTCGTAAGGATAATCCTTTTCCCCATAATTAGTTCCCCGCCCCCCTTGTTTTCCAACATTCCTCCTAGCATCCCCATAAGTACAAGTATTCCCCATCTCCCCTTGCTTACCATCATTCATCCCACCATCCACCTCCGCAATGTTATTTCCCCCCTCCCCAACCATACATCCATTCCCCCCTTATCCACACCAACTACACAATCATGTCCTTCCCTATCCATATTAACAAGTTTGGGTGTAAACAATAGTTTCCTAGCAGTCTCTAAATTTTCCAGTTCAGCAATTTCATTATGTTTACCTCTCATCGGGGAAGCCTTGAGCCATGTGCCCCAGCCATTACCATGAGATTGAGCATCATCAGAGATAGTCTGGCAGTCCTTTTCGCTATGGCCAAGGACACCACAAGAGAAGCAGAAGAACGGAAGCCGTTCATATTTGAGAGATACTTTCACAACATTGCCCTCCTTGGTTTTCACATGCTGGAAGCGTCGCAGAGGCTTGGACACATCCAACAACACCTTCACACGCCTACTCTTGCCAATAGCCACAATATCATCTTCGAAGTCTAACAATTCACCTAGCCCACACGCAATGGCTTTGATGTGGGCATTCGATCTGCAATTGAAGGGAAGGTTTTCAAGCCTAACCCAAAATGGTGAGTGGGTTAAAGCGACGTCCGCAGGTTGTTCATTGCCTTTAATGGTGTTAAGGATGAGGAGGTTATTTTCGAAGCACCACGGTCGCCCTTCAAGAACCCTATCTTTATCCTTCCAATGCAAAAATTGGAAAGCAAACAAGTTCGTGCCCAAATTACGAATTAATACTTTACCCTTTAAACCCCACGCCCGCGTGATCGTTCTTTTGAAAGCTTCCGCATTAATTCCTCGATCTGTCAAAAGTTTTCCAATCAACATCAAGGAAACCCTAGCTTCATGATCAGGGTCCTCAACATCCGCTACATCAATCACGCCTTCCTCCTCTACACTAATGTTCAAGTTTGCATAAGCAGTTAACAGTTCGTCGGCCATAGCCGGAGTGCAACCACGATCGGTGGTTAGGGTGTCCTCTTTTTCAAGGAAGGTTGTCCTCTCTTTCAAGGGAGTTTTTTTTATTGACTATTGTGTTATACTTCGTATTTTTCTAGGAACTTCTATATTTCAAGTATCGATAATTTAAAAACTGAGCATGGCTCGAGTATATCTAGTATAAGATAACAAGGAGTCTTAGAAGCGAGGTTGAGGTGATGGAGTAGTGGCATCGCTCCCACCTCGTATCCCTGAGGTCTAGGGATCAATCCTTATGGAACTCATTTGAGGGATTTCCCTTCTTCTGCTCTGCAACGAATCGATAGCTTAATTCAAAAAAAAATACAAGAATTAGTGTGAACTTGGAGCAAAAAACTTGGTGGGTATTTAGCAATGGTGAAGGAGGAAGATTAGTTAGTTTGGGTAACCAAGGATTAAGTTGAATTTTATTTTTTTTCTTATTTTTTGGTCATTTAAATGGTTAACAAGGGTTAAATATCGCAATATTGTATTCGTCTAGAAGAAAAACAAAAATTACGTTTTCATTATGGTATTACAGAACGGGAAAAGATGACGTCATAAATGGTCTAAAGGGGAGTCTGGTAGTAAAATCAAAATTTTAAAATTTTTTACGCTAGTAATTCACAAAATTTTTAATTCGTGGTAGTAAATTTCCAAATGACATTAATACGCGTAGTAATTGACAAATTTTCTGATAAACTACACTCTAATGCCATTCTCTACTATCATTATTAATTTTATAAAGCTTACATTATACACACAATGCAATTGTAATCATTGGATTTTAAGGTTGTATTATAGTGGATTGGTGGACTCATAATCAACTGCAGTTTTTTACCATCTTCGTTGAGGTTTTCCGTATCACTAGATCGTGTCTCCCTTCGCTCTTTGCATTTTTCACCATCGGTCTTTTACTTCAATTAATCTAAATCTAGTCTCCTAAGACGATTTTTGGCATAAACAGAATGCAAGTTGTTAAGAAATTTTTTAAACAAATCTAATTAAGACACAAACAAGATACTAAGACAATAATTGCAACCAGTAACAATATCTGTGAAAATTCCTAACCAAAGCCAAGGCATCATGCTTAAAGTATCTTAACGTAAAAAGGCATTAACATCACCAATTGGCCCAGCAATAATCAAAGCAATGCACACAACATAGTCGAAGACAATGAATGTTCCTTAGAATTGCAGACAGTGGCGGACCCAGGAATTTCCGACTGGTGGGTCACAATCGATAATCAAGTATGTAAAAAAAAAAATTACCGAACAACCAAATAATAGTACTAAAAAATTTCATCAAAAAGACAAAAACCCAACAACATTAACAAAAGGTTCAAAGTTTACCAAACAAACAACAACAAAATCAACCAAAGTTTAATAGAATTAACTAATTAGACTGAAATAAATTGAAGATTAGGATTTTAAATTAAAAATTAGAAATCAACTTACTAGCAAAATGAGAATAGGAGATTATACTTTAGAAGAAGCGACGAAGCGAAGAGCGGTGAGCACAGAGCACTGGAGCAGTGGAGCAGGGCAGCAGGCGAGCAGCAGCCGCCCAGCAGGCCAGCAGCACAGCCAGCACTGGAGGCGTGAGCAAGCTAGCGAAGAGCACTGTCAAAGTGTCAAACATTTCACAAATTCACAATTCAGAATTTCAGATAATGCAAAATTCTCTGAAATTGAGTTGATTATTGAACAATTAGGGATTTAGGGTTCAAATTTAGTAATACTAATTCATAACTAACAAGTAATACCAACAATTAAATAAAAAAATAAAAAAAAAGCCGAAAGATGAGTAGATGAAGATGACTAACCTGAAATTATGCGAAGAGGAAGACGACGCAAACTAGCGAAGAGGAACTGAGGAAGAGGCGATTCAGGCGAAGAGGGAGAATGGAAGATGCGAACTTGCGAAGAGGAAGAGGCGAACTGGAGTGGAGAACTGGAGTTGGAGATGATCGATGAAGGATTGAAGGGAAGAGGCGAATTGGCGAAGAGAAGAACTGAAGAAGGCTAGGGCTTGAAGTCTTGAACTGAATTCGTGATTTGGTCATTTGGGGAAAACTGATTTTAGTTTTTTTTTTTTTTTTTTTTTTTTTTAAAAAAAATAACTTAAAATTTTTTTTTGGGCCTGGTGAGTCACTTGACCCACCAGGTCTAAGCCCAAGTCCGCCACTGATTGCAGATCGACGAGATAGTTAAAATTGTCAATCTACAAAACTAATGAAAGATAAATACTAGTACAGAGGAATGTTTTGCTGAAAAAGTTGCCATATTTCACAGAAGACAGAGGATTTAGTACAATAGAGTTTAATAGCCTCTCAAATAAACACTCCCACACTTTATTGCAAAAAACTTCAATACATAAAGAGAAATTTGTGAAAAAGGACCTTTTAAGTGGTCGACTTTTTGCAAAAGGACTTTTTAAGTGAATAGTTGAAAAAAATGACCTTTTAAGTTGCATTAACTTTTTAGGGGGTGCTTGGGTGAGTTTTCTTGGTAGTCAACACTGGAGCTCCGACGTTGACTTTCACGTGTTAATCACGTGAGTTCAAAAAAATTATATGCATAGATTGGTGTTTGTTGTCATAAAAGCCATTGATATTTGAAAAAAAAAATGAAGCTCAAGTTCACGATTGCCATAATATATAGGCAAATTAGTAAGGTTTTCCCTTGAGAAATTTTGTACCTTTTCAAAATCACAATAATGAATATAGATAAGACTATCGAAGAACGCTTAGGAAGAATGGTGTTTGGGATACTTATTAAACCTTAAAACAGAGTGCTAATATATGCAAGACTGTCAAGACATATACGCAACACCGGGTAACATGTATCAGTGCTAATGAACTTCGAATTCAAAGACTACACAACAAAGGTTATAAAATCTTTTCTTTGAAATGCCAACAGCGATTACTTATAAATGACATTTAAAGACAAAATTATGACGACAAAGTAAAGGAAGAAAAACACTAGTGCCGTACACAAAAAGTAAAATGGCAATCATATTTATAACAGCAGCAAATAGACACTCACTCACTGTGAGGGTAAAGAAATATTTGGATTACTACATTATTATTTCTTCGGCTGCAGCAAGGGATGAACAAGATCTTAAACGTGACATCGTCAAAGTGGATCACCAAACTTCAGGACGAAGCTCACCAGTTGCAGGAGGCATCCATCTCCCAGAATGGTATACATTCTCACCTACCTTCCAGCCAGGCACATTCTTCATGATTCTGGCCTCATCTTCTAGGTATTTTTTCCATTCTTTGACAAATCTGTGAATCATGATGAACAGGTAATCAATTAGACTGAAGTATAATAAACACTGCAAAATTATATAAACAAGAGGAAATCACAAACTAATATAAAGCTTAACTACCTTTCATCCTCTTCTGCCTGCAGCAAAGGCAGTATGGCTCGGCGAGCAGCATATTTCTCTTCCTTTATTGCCCTATTCATAAATTTAGCATAAGTACATGATGTTCAACATTTAATCAAGGTAACACTACATAGAAGTATATTTTCATTCCACAACAGTTATTGATTGACTTGCAGTTATGTTCAAAATTTCAAAAAACCTTCGCAGTTATGTATAAACTTTAAATTCATACACGTGTCATAAGTACACAATGCAGAGCAGTTGCTTACATGAGATTTAGAGTGACAGGTCAAATTAGAAGTGGACACTAACTACTCGTAGAAAGTGTACAGCAAACTTAAGGCAATCTCTCCTATGTGGGTTCTTGAAAGTGCTTTAGTGCTATAGAAATGGAAAAAGACAGAGGAAATGAGACAAAGGAGAGACTTAACATCTAGTTTTGATCTTCACCCACACTTCCAGTAGGCCACCTGCTATTTTCACCAAATCAATCAGGAAAGAAGTCCTGGAAAAGCATCAAGGCCTCAAGGATGTAGATGGGATTGCAATTGATATTGGTTCTTGATAGAGCAGAACTGGTGTGATTGAAGTTACATCAGATTAGCAATAGGAAAGCGCTGAGGTAATGCACGGGACAATGAACATCAATAATGGGTGGCAATGGGTATTCCTATGGCACCACCCTTAAAAGACCCAATAAAGCTTTTTGCATGTGCATGTATCAAGTTTAGTAAGCACCCATATTCATTGGCTCCATGATCCACATATCTATTGCTTGACCAATATACTTTTTTTGAAATAAGATTTACATTCACTCATTTCTTAGGAAAAATATAAACAAATTAGTGAATGTGTATGTCGTAATTTCTTCATGTCCATACGATTATTTAATTTTCAAGTCATTTTCAAATGTGAAAAAAAATAAAAAAAAATAAAAAAAATCCAGGGTCTAGTAGCTGAATCTGATAACAAGCAGTAGATCAAGTCTTGATTTGAACTATGCCCAATCCAAGCCTCCAAAAACCTATATTACCCGAGGCTCTTCAGCAGCAATTGATGCAAATGCTAAAAGCTTCTGGAAAGGGTCAAGTCTAGGCAAGGAAGGGGAAGGGAGGCTACTGGTAAATTATATAGCAATGACATCTAGTAACAAAAGAGCCAATTGGCAAATTCATGGCAGGAGAGATTTGGTTGAAGATTTAAGATTTTAAGGTTGGAAAAGAATTCTGGTTGCAGAGATTTTGCTTGTCAGCCCCCAAAATACATGGATGATGAGACAATCTTGTTTATATAGCATCTGAACAGCATTTTGACTACTTCAAACAGCCTTTCCTGGTTCATTACATAGATCAATCCATTTTGCAAATTAGAGAAATGGTTGATTATAGACAGGCCAAACAAACAAGCCCACTGTCCTATAGTATTTTATTATATAAATGATTAAAATTAAATCCTTAAACTCAAGGCCATTTACTTCTCAGATGAAAGAATGGAAGCTAGGCCCCATTTTCTTTCAAATATAATTATATAAATTTAAAATAATAGAAAATTTTCTTTCAAAGTCCACATAAACTTGACAGAGAAGGAAACTTTAAGCCAAACATATTTCAACTGTAATAGACTAACCTAAGGAAGGGTAATATTCGTAGGTCTAGTATTATTAGGTTAGAGTCTTTAGCTTTGGTATAAATACAGAGAGGGGAGAAAGGAGAAGGTAGGCAGAAATTTGTATTGAGGGAAACCTTAGAGAGTCATGGCCTAAAGCCATTGTTGGAGAGTTGTGAGCTAAACTCACTATTGGAGATTAATAGCCTTAAGCTATTAAACCTATCGTTTGTAATCCTTCCACCATTATCAATCAATACTAAAGCTTCCATTCTTAGTTATTCTTCATATTCAATCAATTTACGAAAAATCAGATTATAAAGTTCACTTAAAGAATCACTCTTTTCCTCTCCATTTCCTGTTACTTGCGTGAGTTAAGTTAGCAGTAAGCTCAGTTCATTACATCAACATATGAATGATTGGAAGCTTGTTACCAATTTTTCCTGGATATATAACCTCCTCCACAAAACCAAACACTCTCCCTGTCTCCCAAAGAATGGCTGTGATGGATGAGGGATAAGTTTTTTTCAGAAAAACTGATGGAATTCACACATGACATTACCCTGAAAAAAAGAGTTGGCTTCAAAATTTAGCCAAGTCATAGATACTCAATTTACAAATAACCACTCTTTCCTATCATAGAAAACCCCAAGCAATCTTCATCCCATCCAGCTACCATCCCATCCTAAAAGGGGCTCTTTATACACCAAATATGAGACCCATAAACAACATTGCTTTACTTAACCTCTAGTGTCTAAGTAACCGTAAACCATTAAAACCAAGTAAGAGGTAACCTCACTATTTTAAAAGAATAGTTATCTCTGATCTCAGCAATTCACATTCTTCAATATTCATCAATAAACACAAAATTACTAACAGCTTAAGGCTCAACAATAGAACTGAGCATTCACATTATGCACTATGCATGAACAAAATTTAGCCTTCTCCCACAAAAGAATGTAAAAAAATAAACCTATAGGTGAGACTACCGTCAAAGTAGCCTATGCAAAATTGCTTATCAACCAAATGTATGCACCGTTCTACAACTTAAGCACATACACATACACCAATAACAACCAAAAGCGCTATTAAACATGCACTTTTAATAGCACATCCCATGGATGACATATCACTAAATTGTTGGCTTCCACAATATTGCCATGTGTCAATATAATACTTTATGAGCTCAATTTTGAAGGGAAGTACAATTAAGAGAAGGGTAGTAGTTGAAATAGATGATTCATCACAAATATTCAAAATACATTAATTGCTAGCCGCCCTAGTCCTTGATGAAAAGCTACTGAACAAAGAGAGTTCTGCATTAAATGGCACCAAAATGAAGAAAATCTCTTAGGTGCACCTATTCAAGCAACAGTAGACTCTGTTGGAACTCAGCCACAGCATCATCTGCCCATCAAAAGATTCATACTGTACTTTCCTAGACACAAGGACTCACTAATCCACATTAGAACATGAAATTGACTAGAAAGAAAGATTAATTTGTGGAGAAATTATATTAAAGAATCCAGGACTCATATATCAATGAGTATCCCAGTGAAATGTCAGAGATAAACGGAGTCACATCAAAGAATCTGATCCTGAAGGAAACAGAACTTGCTACTAGGTTTACAATTGACATAAAACCCTACAATAGAAGCCATTATGAGTAAAATGCAGAAAATCAGCACATGATACAGCTACCTGTAATAGTGTAATGTTCACATGTGCCAGAAGGAAGGGATATATCAGTACTTGTCATTGATAGTTTGTTTCGAAAACGGTTACCAGGGTAGAGCTGGAAAGCAGTTAAATAGAGTTAAGAAGAAGGTTAGGAATGCAATAAAAGAGGCACAGACTCACTGTAAGGGCAGTCAGATCGTTGTTAAGCAATATGTAGTATTGAAAGAGACTCCACCAGTCAAATGTGGGTGGTTGTATATGTATAGGTTGATTACACTGATTAATCAATATAATCCATCCTATCTTGACCCTATTCTACCTTTTGTTCTCTATCAATCTATGTTAAAATTCTTTAATTTCTCTTAAATCTCAGGCTAATCTACTATGTTTAGCAAGAAAAGCTAAAAATCACTTGGATTCCTAGTATAATAAAAGGTAAATGGTGACAGTAAGAAAAGAATTGGAGGGGTGAGATAGCTTAAAACCTCACAACACCATAAACACTTATCGTCATTATCGGTAATAGAGTCATAGAGTAAACTATAATGTGTGAAGAGAAAATCTTATCTTGGAGTTCGTTTATCCAAGGGAGAACCAATCCAACAAACAAACATACACCACTTAATCTTGTAAATAATTAATTCCTAAGAAGAATTTGGAAATCATTTATGCCCTTTCATAATTACACAATGGATAGCATAGAACAACACAATGAAGAAAAGGTCCATTCTCAATATGCATCAACCTTCAACATGGCTTCTCATCAACAAATCAACCATTCAATCCGTATTCTAGGTAGACTGTCATGGTGAAGAAAACTATCAGCGATGGGCGTAGTTAAGGACTTAGCCCTACATTCATTGGCCAAGACACGAAACACATTTTCTAGAGTATCAAACAAACCTTTCGTTCCACCCTATCATTAAATTTGGAAAATAACTCAGCAAAAAGTCATTGGCCTATACTCCCACAGGGGCCACAACAAACTTACCCATGAAATGCATATACTATTGTGTTTAGCATGCTTGACATAGATCCGCTTTAACAATTGCCAACATCAACCCATATATATCATCTTACAGCACATTAACCTTATTCGCCAATATGTTCGACACCCAAAGCCTATCCTGGTTAAGCCTTCTCACACAACAAATACCGACAATTTTCATGCTAGTCAACAAACCCATTTATCATAGGAACAAAATCACAAAGGGAAATAATCCTTGTTTTTGTAGCAAACCCTAAATAAGTCCACTAAACATAACTCATTCAGCTCCATATTCCAATCACATTACATCCCATAATCTCTTAAAGCTCACAAACAATAAGTCAATAACCCAGCAACAATCTCAAACAACTATTCAACAAAACTTTCAAAAACCCATGTAATTTCCAGGCAATCGAAGGCATTTTCACGCCAATATTCAAATTCTCAATATACCCATCAATCCAATTTAATCCCCTAACCCATTTATCATACCAACAATTTCACAAACCCTAAATTAAGTCCACTAAATGTAGCTCATTCAGCTCCATATTCCAATCACATTACATCCTATAAACTCTTAAAAGCTCACAAACAACAACCCAACAACAATCTCAAACACCAATCAACAAAATCATCAAAAAACCATGTAATTTCCTGCCAATTCAAGGCATAATCAAGCCAATATTCCAATCCCCAATATATCCATCAATCAAACCTTAATCCCCAAGATACCCATCAATCAAATTCAATCGTATATAACAACACTAAGTCAAATGCGTAAAATAAACAAGATCCAGTTTGAATAAAAGAGTAAAAGAGAGAATACCGGCGCTTCTTGTTGCCTTCGCCAACCTGGTACATACCCCAAGCGAAAGCGCCGAAAGTGGTGAGAAAGATGGCCATGGCGCTAGGACCTTTGGTGGGGATACGACGAGCGTAACGAACAGGAGCGAAACCACCAGGTGGAGGTCCATCTTGAAGGGAAGGCATGTCCTTGACACTCGCCATTCCTGGCTTGTTCCTGATCACTGCCTCCGTCATTTTCTCTCTCCTCGGTTGCTACGAATCGATCGTCGGTTGGATTGAGTGATTGGTTGGGTGTTGGGGGTGTCTGATGAGCTAGCTATGCAAGGAGGTTTGCCGCAAAGGGCGAGTACTATTTGTGGGTAGGTTATGGTGATTGGTGTGAGGAGGGGGAGTTGGATGGTGGGTCTTAGGAGTAAGGAGAGAGGAAGGTTTTCCGGATCCACTATGTAGTACCCGTATAAACATGGAGGTGATTAAAAAAAAAATAATAACCTCAAGCAAAATCTAATTTAATATTATATAAATAAAGTAAGCATTTTTGGAGAGCATTTGGCGTGCCACATAAACAAAGGTATATTTTCAACAAATTAAAAATTAGATTTTTATTTTATTTTAGAATTAAAAAATTCGTTTGCCACCTAAACAAAAGTGACGAATGAGATTTAAGAATTTTGCTACGTAAGTAAAAACAACGAATATTGATTTATTAGGATTTAAATTATTTAAAAAACTAAAAATTATCTTTTAAAATAATCATTTTTAGATATAGGATTATATACCTATTAATATAAGATAAATTTTGATAGTGTTTATGATAAGAAATAAAAATTATTCCTTAATTATAATTAAATTAAAATTTGTGATACCCACCATTATAAATTGACACATCATACGACACCAACAAAATTTCGTATCAATACAAAACCAAACCAAGCAAATTTTGTGTCATTAATTTTGTGTCAGTTTTATTAGGTCATCAATGGCTAGGTAATTCTTAGCCTAATTTTTAAAACCCATGTTTAAATGTATATTTGTGATTATTGCTTAAATTGTGTTTATTTGGGATACTTAATGATTATATGTTTATGTTTTGTTTATTGAATTTTGTTTTTACATGCAGATCCAATTTAATCAGAGAATTATATTCGAGCAAAAATGTTTGGAATATCAAAGTATGAGTTTCTCGCCTGATGATCCTATTGGATGAGGAGGTATTATATCTTTATAAATCGTTTACATTTTTTAATATTTTAATGAACCTCTTAGTTTTTATCAATTAATATTATGATTAAAACAATTTTTTTGTGATTTAGGTAGCTTAATTAAGTCATAAAATTAACTTAATTTTTTATTTTTAATTACAGGGTGATTACGTTCATGCCTCGATTAAAGTCAACTTTGTTCTACAATTTTGTTCAAAATTGATTGAAGGAAAAAATTTACTCTATTAGATACTTTTTAGTCGTTACAAATAAGAAACAATATCGCACGCATTGTCAGCGACAATAAAATAATGATTCAATTTTCCAAAATACTATTGTTTAGGCAATTGGGGACGATGAAAAAATTCCAATGCATAGATTTAATTTTGTGTAATTACAATTTTTAGATTAATTTCACAACAATTATTTACTTTTTGGTAAATATTTTAATTTATTTTATAAGACTATAAAGATTAATTTTATATAAATTTTATTTTTGATAACATGTTCTATTTATCCACTTTTATTAGATGGAAGAGATATAGGTGTGAACAAAGTTGGTGATCCTATTGAAATTTTTTTTTAATACAAATTTTTTTACATCGAAATATTACATCTAATAACTATTATTTTTAATGTTCTTATCAAAATATTTATTAGGGGAATAAATTACATAAAATTAATAAAAAAATATCCTTAACAAACAATGGCAAAGTAATCAAAAATATTATGAGTATGATCTAATTACAAAAATTATTTTTATGAGATTTTATGTATAAAATACCGTAGGATATTAGGATTTAAATTATTAAAAACAAATAAAAATTATCTTATGAAATTAATGATTTTATCTAAATACCCGATTAATAAGTTTTTTTTAAAAAAAAAAATTAAAACTTATAACGCAATAAAAAACTTTACCTTCTTTAAACATTTTATGTCTAAAAAATTGAAAAGACAGATAATTTGTTAGAGATCAAGAGATCCCAAGAAATATACAAAACGATATATAGATTTGAGAGTTTAATTTCAAGTGTAAAAAGCAACGAATAATGATTTAGGATTTAAATTATTTTAAAAATAAAAAATTATTATCTTTTCCTATTAAAGATCTTATCCTAATATGTAATCAATGAAATATCATATTTACAATTTTTTTTTTTTTTGAAAGATATCATATTATTGTCATATAACTAACAACAACGAATAAAAAAACAACAGTAAATTAAGTTGCATTATAAACTACATTAAAAAATTTATACTTTTGTAATTGGCAATATCATTTTAATTAAATTATTATTATTATTATTATTATTATTATTTTGTCTGAAGTTATTAAATTGTAAAATAAATCAAATAATTATATATATAAAAAAACAAAAACTTAGAGTATATAGGAAAATATCTTTTCTTGAGATATATGTATGAGAAATCGTGCATCGCACGGGCTTTCATCTAGTACTATGTGTTTCGGGGTTTTCTGATGTCCTGCGGGAGAGTTACAATTCCGAGACTGGAACCGGACGCCTGTACCTGCAAAATAACGGAGACTCCTGGGAGCTCCGCCTCCAACGGTCAAGTTAGTACCTAATTAAGGAGTAATTAATGCGGAAATTAAAGTGATTGGGTCTATCTAGGTGAGAGTGATTAATGTAGGTAATCTGCTTTGTTAGCGAGATCAGCCGGTTATTACTGTGTGTAATTAATGTGTTTTTTCCGTTCTTTTCCCTTAATGAGGATTAAGGGAGGTATTTATAACCTTGGGAAACGTGCCCATCCTAGGTTTAGGTTAACCTAGGGCCGATTGGGCTTCCCTCGGAAGTTGGGCCTGGGTGGCCGGTTTCTCCATTAGGCATGGAGTATGCCACATGTCATGACATAACAGGTCCAAGGTGGACGAATAAGCGCGTGCCACGTGGCAAGCCCTGACAGTTCCAACTGGGAGACACTTGGCAGGACCTGATTGGCCCACGTGGCGCATTCCGATTGGAGGAACATAATCCCCTAATCATTTGCCCCTCACAGGTGGCACGTGATTGGTCACGTGTTACCTGTGACACGTGTCGCACTGTAACAGGCGGCGACCTTCTACAGGTGTCAGTCGGCGAAAGGACGAGAGATTCTCCCGCCCAAATTTTGAATTCTGAAGGTGACCCTTCGCCTTCTCACTTCGCCTATATAAGGGAGAGTTGTCTTGAGTCATTTTCACACTTTGAGAACTTTTTGAGAACATTCGGACCCCTGAACTTGCTCTGACATTTCGGACCTTTTCTGCCTACCGCCTGTTCTGACAAGCCGACTGCACAGGATTTTCAACACTTCATCAATCGTCACTCGTTCAGGTAACTGTCGGTTCTCTCTCTTAATTTTCTTTTTATTTTTTGAAATGGCACCACGGAAGCACACGACACGACCTAGGTTAGTGATCAGCCGGTCACCGGGGACGGCTGAATCTAGGACTAGGAGTGTCGCCTGCCCTTTTCCGGACCCATCTTTGCCCTTTATACAAAGTCCGACCGTATCTATGTCTATGCAGAGCAGGATGGCCAGAACGAAAAAGACTGCTAGGATCTCAAATTCAGACGGCTCCTCCCACAGGGTGCCGCTTAGTAAAACATCTGACCAGGCGCCAGATGTGGAAGTGAAACAAGGCGGCCTGAAAGCCGGCAATTCTGAGGGAGGAGTCATAGTGACCCCTTCTCATTTAACAGTTAACAATAATGCTTCTTTTCAAAGAGAGGAGGCGGGCCCCTCCGGGAGAGGGGAGGAGTCGTTCTCTTCGGACTCGTCAGAGGACGATTCCGAGTCAAGCTCTTCTGGCCATGCTTCTTTGGGTACAGAAGAGAAAAACAGCCGCCTGCAAGAGGCGAGACTTTCTCACGCAGTTGAGAAGGGGGACAATTGGGCGGAGCCATCCGCCTCTTACCGAGAGCTAAATACCCCCTACTACTGCACGGTACCTCGGGGCCGGATCACAGCCATGCAAGAGAAATTGGAGAGCTTTATTGCAAACCACACCATGGGCCCCGACTTTCTAGTGTTTGTGCCGGATCCAGAAGACACAGTCGTCTGGCCGGCTGGTTCCAGTTATGATAGCACCTGCTTTGGCTGCTACGAGGCGGCCATCAAGGCAGGGCTGCGCTTCCCATTACATCCGGTTGTTCAGCGGATTTTGGATGGGTATGAGTTGGGGTTATGGCAGTTAGCCCCAAACTCCTGGGTAAACGTACTCGGCTATGTGGCCGGGTGCGAACTGCACGGGGTGGAGCCGAGCTTCGAGGCTTTCGCCCATATGAACTATCTCAGCCGAACCCCTAAAACAGGCGGTACCGGCTGGTATCAATTGACAAGCCACAGGGGCTACCTCATGACGAGAGGTAAAGCAAACAAGTGGAAGGACTGGCGGAGCACCTTCCTCATCATTGAGAGTTCAGACATTGAGCTGAACAAACGCTTCAATAGGTGGAACAGGAATCCGCCCCTTCTTGCAGGCGGCCGTAGCATGCCGCCTATTCCCCCCAAGGCTAAGAAAGAGATCCTTGATAAAGGACTCTTTAAAGTAGAGTCGAGGGTCGACTCTACTTCAGGGGTACGAGAGCAAGTACCCCTGCACTGCGTCCCGAGCTTCAAATGGCTCTACGACGAGTACTTTTTGGCCGCCTGTGGCCTCAGCAGTCGGTGCTCAAGAGGTAGTCGGCCTGTCGAATACTCTGTTGTTCCATACATTTGTTGTTATGACTTTTATTAACTTTGCCGTTTGTTTTTGCAGCTGACGCCATGAGCAAAATCACCGCCTCCAAGACTGCGGCGGCCATGTTGCGGGCCTCTATCATGCAACAAGCTTCAACCGACTCCCCCAAGAAGGGGGTACCCTTGGTGAGCTCCGAACCTTTCACCCTCTTTTTGGAGTTGTGTTTATGCATATACTGACTTATTTTTTCTTCTTTTTTAGACGGGTGCTCCAAGAGCTTCATCTTCCCAACAGCCGGACCCCAAGGCCCGGAAGACGACTGTTGGGAGCTCTCCTGGTTCTGCCAGGAAACATGTGGCGGCTGAGAAACAGCCGGCCACTTCTTCTAAAACTCCAACTGGGCCGCCTAGAAGTAAGAAGTTGTCCTTGTAAATTTTAGACTCGCTCCTTTTTTACTAGGTCTAATCCGTTTGTTTATGCTTGATGCAGCCGGCCCTCAGGAGCCTGACTTGGTAGAGATGGCCAAGTCTATGATCAGGGCAGTTCCTCCAGC